TCTTCACCTCTTTTATTTTGTGTTTATCATTTATTATTAATTTTTATTCTTTTATTTCATTAGCAGCGGTGGTTGGTGGGAGAGTCTATCAGAGAGTGGGTTCCAATAAAAAATAATATTTTATTATATATTAATATGCCCCAATTTGATAGGGTGCTATTTAACTAGAGTTCAAGTTGGATACTAGTATTGTTTCTATGAGGGGAATAATTAGTATGTTAGAATTTATGTGCCTTTCCTCATTACTTTGAGAACTACTAGGCCTAGTAAGAGTGTTGAATGACTTTGATTTGTGTTAGAATTAGAACAGTCCAATGTCTGGTTCCGTTGATCTCCCCATCATTCCAGCTGTTTAACAAAAGTTTTAAACAAACCACAACTTTTTGAGCAATGGATTTGTGGCATTTCAATTAATTTCTACAATTGTAGAGAATTTACATGGTTGGATTTTATCTTCCTATGCCTAATCGCCATTTTTAATTTTCAAATGAGTCCCTTCAATATATTGAAACAATGTCAGTTCTTCCAATAATCCTTGTCTTGATCTTTATCGGTTTTGAAACCCAACAATTTATATTGCTGCTATTTATATCTTCTACATTTTTAACAATTTAGGTTTTGAATAAAACTCTAGATTTGCCTGCAAAGGATGGGTTATCTCAAGCTCTTTTGATCTTGATTACTTCTGCTATCATTTTTCTTCTTTTTCTTCAAATGCCTTTACAATCGGCTCCTTAAGCCCTACCCCATGACTTCCATAATCACACCACACACACATATATATTATATATATTCCGTTGGAGGTCTTTTTTTTTCACTATTTTAACTAATCGAAGCAAACAAACTAAAGGACCATATACTTTCTACAGCATCCACACACACCATGCTTCGTTTCCGCAATGAAGCACCTTAAGATAAATTTGGGTCACTTTCTTCTTGCCTGCTAATTCTTTTTTTGGCCCCTTTACTTTCTGTCCATCGATCTCTGTCTGAACGAATCTCACAGAATACTTTCTCTACGTCTTGAATTGACAGCTGTCCTGTGCTTATGATTTGTTCCTATGAGTAGAAAATGCAGTGGCAAACATCTAATTCAAAAGTAGGGTTCTTATAAGCTCTCTTTAGTCCCAATGAAGTGTCTCCTATATTTGCAACACCAGGACTACATAGATGTAATTATGAAACATTACTTTTTCAAATGTATTTATTGACAATAGACATTTTTAGCAATGTTCTTTTCCAATATCAAATCAAATACAATGGCAGCACTGAAGTGCAAGGTATTAAATGGCCTTTCAGGTATCACATAATTTCCCTACTCATATAAATTAAACAAACAAAAGTAAGTGAAGTGAAATAATTTAACTTGCAAGAACTTTTTTTAGAGGCTTTATTAGTCACAACTTTGTCACTTGAACTCTCCAACATGGCCCACCATATTGTGAAGCAACTCAAACATTTTTCTTCCCATGTTTTTTACATACTAGATGCATCAATAACGCTTAAGAAATATGATCCTTTAAAGGAGAAATTCCACTAAAATAGTTTATCAAAGTTCTAGCTATTTTTTCAGTCAAACATCTCCCATGGACTATGCAACCGTTTTAGCTCATTCTCCTAAAAGGACTCCAACTCTCTCTCACAGAAACATCTACCCTCTCTTTCTTTAAGGAAAGAACCACCGATGCCAGAACCCCTAATCTCATGAAAGCTAGGTAGTTTCAATCTTCACTGAACTGTCCAATGGATTCAACCATCATATTGAAAGAGCTAGGATAATATAACGGCATTGAAAGATTATCAATACAATCCACTAGCTATATCTCAAAGCTTTTTCACGGAAACTCTTTCTTGCATAACTCATTTATATTATTTGCTTTCGACATCTTCTTTTGTATGAATCACCTTCTTGCATTAGGAATGAAAAAAATATCCATTGGACCTTTTAGTCTTGATTACTTTTCTTATCTGATCATCATATTTGATAGATTTGGAGCTTATTGATGATCTGCGCTTTATAGAAACAATAAACTTCTCACTTCCACTTTTTTTACCAAAAAGCTTCTAACAACTTAGAATTTCAATTCTATTCATCGCATTGGGCTTTTCTTCCACAATAGCTCTTTAAATTCTTCTCGCACATGAGGTGTACATTTGACGCACATTTTAGTGTTACGATAACCATTAAGCAAGTTTTGCTTACTTGATAAGTCCACCTTTTTTTTTTTTTTTTTTTTCCCACAAAAATTGCATATAACCAATAATGTATCAGGTTGGATTAACCAGAAGAAGAGTCCATTATCATCCACTTAACATAGAATTTTCACATAATCGCAGCACTGCCAACTAGAAGAAGAGTCCGTAGTATCCACTTAATATTTTGTTTTCTGCATCATATAATATAAATAATTAAAAATTCATAGAAAACCAAATAAAATAATTCATGCAACTTAAATTCTTAATCAAGAAGTACAAATATGTGCACCCTACAAAAATAAACCATAACGAATTTAGTGAACAACACAACCTAAATAAAATAAATAATAATGCTATTTCTATTTCTTATTATTATTATTATTATTATTATTATTATTGTTACTTTTTAGTTTATTTGATTTCTTTGTACAAGTCAATTTATATTTTGTATAGCTTTTCGTTTAATTTCACGTTATTTCAAATTATTATTTCTATATTTATTATAATTGGGGTGTCTTTAACTCCTTCGCACTTCTCTTTTTTTCTATTATATTTTAATTGTACTCGAAAGAAATTTTTCTACTTCTAAATATACTGAATTTAAAAACTAATCATAATTACACTCTTAATTAGAAATTAAATTCTTTTCGTTCAATTTTCACGGGACTCAACGCTTCTTTTTATAGTTTAGCTACTCAAGCAATTAATTAAACTAAAACATACCGTTTTTCTCTTTTATAGTTAGCTTAACTCAAGCAATTAATTAAACTAAAACATACCGTTTTGTTTTTAATTAAAAAAAATAAATCTCAAAAAATCATACCCCATTGTCGTCTTCATTCTGCTGCCTTTCTCTCTCTCTCTCTTCTGATATATATGTAGGTATCATATTCCTCGATCTTTCCTGAAAAATGATCCCAATGCTACCAATACACTGGTTCTCTTTGAGGAGTTTGGCGGAAGTCCATTTTTTATAACTCTCCAAATAGTTACAGTAGGAAAAGTAAGTGGAAGAGGCAATGAAGGAGACACAATAGAGCTTTCAAGCTATGGAAAACCCAATTGAGCAATTCAGTTTGCTAGTTTTGGTGATCCTCGAAGGTTTAGTAATGGCTCCTTTGAGAAAGGCAGCTGTGAAGGATCTAAAGATGCTTTGTCAATCGCCTAAAAGGTAGTTAGTTTAGTTAATGGAGATTGAATCAAGTGGAAATATACCCTTAATTAATTTGTCTAAACCATAATTTTGTAGGCATGCATTGGGAAGGAGACTTGTGCAATTAAAGTTTTTGCAGATGTACTTGGGTCCATAAATTGTGAGGAAGGTGTTGAGAGTAGTCTAGTTGTGGAGGCTTTGTGCTAACGAGATGAAGTTTTTGTAGTTTTGGCTAATTAATTAGGTTGGTTTTTGTTAGGGATTCAATTTTTTGCACAGAGAGAGAGAGAGAGAGAGAGAGAGAGAGAGAGAGAGGCAGAAGAGGGAGATAGAGCACAGAGAGAGAGAGAGAGAGAGAGAGAGAGAGAGGCAGCAGAAGGAAGACGACAATGGCGTCTGATTTTTTGAGATTTGTTTTTTTTTTTTTAATTGAAAACAAAACGTGTGTTCTACTTTAACTAATTATTTGGATTAAGCTAATTATGGAAGAGAGTGTCGGTCTCACCAAAAATTGAATAAAATAGATTTAATTTCAAATTAGAATGTAATTATAACTAGTTTTAAGTTCAGGGCATTAAGAGAAAAATATTGCATTTGGGATACAATTAAAACAACCCACAAAGTTTGTAGTTTTTTTTTTTTTATGGTTTAGCCATTTTAAAATTTCAGAAGTTAAAAGCAGGGATGCCAGCAGGATACTCGCGAATTTTAAACCACTCACACTCGTGTCCATTTAAAATTTTAGTATATGTATATGTTCTAAATCCGTTTAAATATCTATTTAAATATTCATATTCAAATCCGTTTTTTTTTCTATTATCCGTACTTTTTGAAAACCGTTTAAAGTTTCTTTATATGGGTAATGCATATTGAATTTTAAATTATTTAAATCCAAACTTATTTTAAAATCAAATTTTTATTAATAATAGATAGATACCCGAGAGTACCTATTGTCAAACTTATTTAATACAGCGAGTAACAGATACTCAAGACCTATATTGGCATCCTACCTCTACCCATTACAAGTAATAATTTCACTATCCCTATATTTTCACTATCCCTATATTTGTACCCTAATTATATCCATTACAAAAAATAATTTTATCATCCATACTTATCTCAAATCTATTTATTACCATCTACATTCTATTTGAACGGGTTTACATTATCCACATCCTCTTTAAATGGATTATCCACATCCTCTTTAAATGGATTAAAGTGGTATGAGTATCCTCAAATATCCACACAGCTTCCATCCCCAATTAAAACTGCACATCTTAATTGCCTGGAATAAAAGGGTCTTAATTTATATATTAATATAAATCATGAAAAATAGTTATAATTAAAATATAAAGTTACTAAAAAAAATTTTACACTGTTAATGTTGACAAATAAATAAAAGAATATCAAATCTAGCTTTAAATAATTAAAAATCTTAAAGTCTGACTCATACTGAAAAAAACAAAAAAACTAATTACTTCGAACTGTATTATTTGTTGCAATGTTTGCTGTTTATTCCAACTTTCACAAAATAATAATATCATGTCACCTATTCACTTGCACTCAAAATTTAATTATATATACATAAAAAAAAAAGACCTCAACAACTTTCGCAATAATAATAAATTAATTAATTAATTAACTCCACTCCTTATAAATTCAATAACTGGCCATATAATTAAGAAAAACGTGGTGGTATAACTCTTATATCATTGCCTTCAATTAGCAGCAGCAACTGTGATAATATTTGACTGTTCGAGTATTGAACAAATAAGAAACAGACTATTAATCAGTAGTATAAGATCAAGGCTTTAGAAGCAAGTCCAGAAATCCATTTATCATCTCAATTTCATTTCAGCAAATGTTGCTGCCAAATCGATGGCCTTGTCTACATGCACTCCATCTGTTCCCTGAAATAAAACAATCATCACATTATTACTAAAGAATACAAAATAAAAAATAAAAAAAATTTCTCAATTGTTACAACTAGAGTCCAAGAACAAGGCATAAATACTGCGCGCGCACACTACAGTCACCCGCTATTTGAGCAGCAAAAAGTAAGGCTTACTGGAGGCCCGTTCAGCATTTTCTATTGCTAATAGCAGCTTTTGGGTAAAAAACTAGGAATGGATTATGTTGGTTTTATGGATGTAGCTTTTGCAATGTGATTTTTGTAGGCCAAAAATTGATGTAAAAATGGTCACATTTGAAGTTTTTTTTCCATAATCAGCTTTTGGCCTAAAAAAATCATATGTTAATAATCTAAATTCTTCCTAATTTTTTATCCAAAATCTGGTATCGACAATAGCAAAACCAAACTAGCCTTCAGTCAGATAGAAGTGAAAAGACCTTTTTTAACTGTCAAACCAAACAAAGCCATCCTGTCAAACTAAGCCGGTGGAAAATAAGTTTAAAACAGCATTTATACTGATTGAACATTTCTAGCCACCAACCATTCATTAAACATGTTGCAGCACTTCTGACTGGAACTCAATCAAATTTTTTGTAGGAAGAAAATCAAATAGTTCATTAGTACATGGATTACAACCATGTCAAACTACCAACCTGGCCAGTGGCAAGACCCCCCTTTCCCTTACCACACCTTCCGTTAAGAGGCTCCAAAGCTTTAGTTAACCACTCAGACACCTCCAGTTTTTTACCCTGGTCTTTCTTTTCTGGCACTCCCGCGCACACTACAACCTTGTTTGTAGTTTCATCCATACTGAAAACCATAGCAGAAATCCCCTGTCCACTCGCCAATATAATATTAGGACTTCTCTGGTGTGTAAATAAAAAGTATCAGAAAAATTATAAAAAATTATAATACACAGCAATGATATCACCTTCTTCTCTAACACTTTCAGAACTGCCTCACGGACTGCAGCTGCATCTAGACCAACGTCAACACGAGAAATGCAGAATCCCTTCCCTTCTGAAGCAGCTATTTCAGCCATCTCCGTTGCAACCTTTACAGCCTTCTGCATATTTTCTTCCGCAATCTTCTTTTGAGCTTTCCTTACTTGATTCTGGTAAAGTAATTTTATTTATTATGGTATCAGAATTGGAAACAAAAATGCACGATGAGAATAGGATAATAGTAACATAAACAAGGAAAAGAAAAAGTAGTTAGAAACAGTTCAGGTATAGCGGAATAATTAGTTAGCTTGGCTGCTATACCTGAAGTACAGAAATCTTAGCCCTAATATCAGCTTTCTTGGCAGCTGGAATAGGTGCAGAGTCCACTCGACTTTTTAAAGATGCTACTTTCTGTTGAACAGAAAATATATATATGTCAAGCGAAGATCATATACAGTGATGTAATAAGAGAAATTATTCCCGTAACCAATTGTTAATTTATTTCTGCAATCAGCTGCTTATTACACAAGCCACTTCCATGATGAAGTAGCCAGAAACAAAATCAATCTAAATTTTTTGCAGAAAACAAAACAGAAACCTTTCAAAATCAAGAAACTTGCTACTGGATTGTTATTTTATTTCAGAATCTGGTCTGAGAATGCATTGAACTACTACAGACATTCTTACTATTTCTTTAGCAACTTAAGGAGCTGACAGCCATATTACTAAAGAATACAGGCACACCTGTCTAAATAACTACTATGAAATTGACTGCATATGCAATACAGAAAACATTACACATAAATATTGAGTGGGGAAGGAGGGGGTAAAGGGGAGAATCTCCAATTTGCCAAGAGAAAAGCAAAGGCAAACATGATAAGGGGCAAAAAAGGCACATCTCTTGACCGGATAAATAAATAGGAACTTACCTTTTCTAGCAAGCTTCCTTCTGCCTTGGATGTCTCATGAACTTCCTGCTCAAGTGAAGATGCTAATTCCAATGCCTTGAAGGCAACATCAGTTGTCACAGCAGTTATCCTTCGCACTCCTTTAGCAATTCCCTCCTCTGATAAAAGAGCAAACGCCTTTGCTTCCCGAGTGTTTGAAATATGTGTTCCTAGAAGTTTGTTTTTTTCCAAAGAGCAAAAAACAAACTGTCAATTAAATATCAAAAGAATGCTGGTAGTGGAAAGATTAATAGAAGACAATAACCTCCACAGAGTTCTGCTGATATTGTCAACCACTCTTTACTTTCTGGATCAGCTAGGAGGTCCTCAACTTTTCGACCAATTGCCACAACTCTAACTGGATCAGGATAGACCTGCACCAAAAGGACAAGACAGTGAAACTTCACATATTTAAAATTCATTTCATTAAAAAAAGCAATTAAAAGTGTCAGATCATACTTCTCCAAATACAGCCCGTAAACCATTAATACGCTTGGCTTCAGAAAGAGTCGCCTCCTTTGCAAATACTTCTAATTCAGCTTTGATTTGCTCATTCACAATTGACTCAATCTTTCTCAAAAGGTCAGGATCCACTGGCTTGCCTATACAAGTTTTATTTCATGATTAAATAAACCTCATGAATAAAAAAAAAAAAAAAAAAAAAAAAAATAAATAAACCATCATGAATAAAAAAAAAAAAAATAAAAAAAATTTATAAAGGTAAAGCAAAAAAATTAACAACTTTTCAAAAAAAAAAAAAAAAAAAAAAAAAATTTATAAAAGGTAAGCAAAATTAACAAACTTTTCCCAAGAATATCACACACACATATAAAACCCCTTGAAGTTACCATGGGAAAAATCAAATCTCAGCTTTTCTGGAAGAACAATTGATCCCTTCTGATCAACATGACTGCCAAGTACTTCCTGGATTGATGCCAAGAGAAAATAAACAAAAGCAATATTAATCAATGAACAATTAGGAAATTCATGCACGAATGGAATAGGAGCATACCTTGAGAGCAAAGTTCAACATGTGTGTACAAGTATGGTTTGGAGCAATGAGCTTACGCCTATCATAGTCAACCTGCACAAGTCATTAGGATATTGTAAAACATAATACGTATATGTGTGTGCGTGTGAGCGCGGGTGTGTGTAGAGAGAGAGAGAGAGAGAGAGAAGGAATCAACAGAACAATTACACAAAAAGGAGGGAGCAGCATACAAGTTGTAGGCTATACCTTACAGATAACTTTATCACCAACAGAAATTTTGCCTGTCTTTCCAGTAAAAGAACCAATATGAACAACAAAGCCTCCAAAAATTTGGACATTAGAAACTTGAAATGACCCAAAAGAGCCTTCAAGCAATCCAATATCAAAAATCTACAACCAGAATACCAAGACCCATAAGATAATTTATAAGAAAAGCCTGGTGGTGCAGAGGAAAGAATAAATGTATAACACAACAAGATTTTGGTAAACAGTTAGATTATTAACACTGAAATAGTATAAATTCAAGTTATGTTTCCAATTCTATGCAGAGGTACTATATATGAGCACTAACTATGTTTGCCAAATCTCATTGCAGGAAATTTACCAATTCTAACAGCACAATACCTGACCACCTTGCTCAGCATAGAAACTGGTAGATTCCAAAACTATACCAACTTCATCACCAGTGGTAAAGGTTTCCAGGATCTCTGAACCAGTGTAGATAGCTTTTATTACACTTTCATGATCCTGAAAGCCATAAGGCAACAACATAAACAGTCAAAAACTTAATCAACACAATACAGATTCTCATATCAGAACCAGGTAAGAGTAAGAAGACTAGTGCATCAGTGTTTCCTCAGAAACAGGAAGAATAGACACATAACTATGTTATGTAACAGCTGAACGTAAGAATATTGCAGTCCCAGGAACCCAAAGAAATGGCCTTAACATTTACAGTCCATTTGGAAGAATCAATTCATTTATAAATGAATTCGCATGTTTAGAACTACATAATTTGAAAATTCTAGAACTGAATTATTTTTGTCATCACTTTGTAAAATATCTTTAGTAAAATTATAAGTAATAAAACCAAATATATCTCATGTTTATAATTAATATATAATTTGAAAATATAAAAAAAAAAAAAATAGTTAAGGGAGGAGAAAGAAACACAAAAAAAATAGAAAAATAAAAAAGAGACAAGTGAGAGAAATGAGAAAAAGAGGAGTGGAGAGAAAACGGACAAAGAAAGACAGAGACAGAAAAAATAATGAGATGATATATAAGCGTTTTTGTTATAAAATTTTATTGGTTAGTTTTGTGGAATTCACTTGGAAATTCCTCCCATTTTGACAGAATTTGATTCACTTATTTTCAATTCCTAGAATTGAATTCATAAAGTGCAATGAACTATGTCCCAAACATGAAATGTGGAAATTTGAAATGACTTAAAAAAAATTTATGGAATTCATTTGTTCCAAACAAGGATTAAGATTGTAGTAATGGAAATGTTCAAGAGGCAATTTTAACATATATATGCAAAAGCACAAGGACTGATATTGCTGTTCCTTAAAATAGTAGCAGACTATTTTCGGCCTTTTTAAAAAAGCTGGAAGTCCCATTTTGTCATAAACTCCTTTGGAAATTCCTTGACTAGGATAGAAACAATGATGCAACCCTGGCAAGAAAAAGGAGTTCTGATGGCAATCAACACCTATTCTAAAAATTGGTGATGTTTATGGCAAGAAAAAAGACTTCATGGCGATCTTCACCTATGCTAAACACATTTTACTGCTTAACCAAGACACCCGTTACAGAAAGACAAACCAGTTCTACACTATGAAGCATTGATACTTCAATCTTGAAAATACATCACACTTCTGACACATGCTAATTTTTTAAGAATAAGCATGTCAGCACATCAATGTCAGTATTGTGTTTCATGTCCATTTCCTTGATTCATGGGCCGTACCTAACAATAAGATGAAACTTTTAGACACAGCCGCATTTGCAATCACAATGATTAAGAACTAACACTAATATTTGAAGGCATGAATCAGAAGGAGAACATCAAGTTTAATAAGGGACATTTTTCACATTTTCTTTTCTTTATATGAAGCTTCCACTCAACATACCAGGCAAGAGAAATGGACAACCTATTAACAAGGGATAAGTGATTTTATTCAGATATGTGGTCAGCTAGCTTCTAAAACAGGCACGTGATAGTGTAAGCATTAAGATACATAGAATGTCTGAATATACCCACTACCAATGTAATTAGTTGAAAAGGTGATCAAGGTGACAGACAGGTTGAGACTAAAAAACTTGTGTCACACGGACTCCTTTCATACCCCATGACATGCTTCAATAATGAACCATAATAAATGGCTTAGTTGAAGTGGTAATGAATAAAAGATTGAAACAGCATATTCTTCTCTATGGAAGCACCTGGAACTCTTTGAAATTCCTTACGGGAAGGAAAACTGAACAATTTTGAAAAATACATACAAAGAGGGAGAGAAAATGCCATAATACATAAAACACACAAAGACATGATGATTTTTACTTTCAGTTATCCAATTACTGGGAAACGTTCATTCATCTTAAAATGTGAGATCTGGAAAAATTACGTTTTGGCGTCCATCAATTAGATGGCCAAATGCCAACATGCACCAATGGAACACAGCTCCATTCCTCAAAATTCAGATATGCTAATTGTAATATAAAAAGTTAAACCTCTCCATTTCCATAGGTATACAAAGCAATGCAACTCAATATAAAAATAAATGTGACTATGCAACAAATTAGTAAAGCACACATATATGCACAAGTGCACTTTTTATGTTCTGACCTGGAACCATGTAAATTTATAGGAATCATCTGTTACAGGAACACCCTTCTTGTGCAGTGCAGATGTAGCATCAGCATCCATGACAATATCCCCACCAGCTTGCTGCCATAATATTAGCAAAAAAGAGGTCATAACACCATATAGCCATAGGTGGTTTCTTCCATTCAACTGCACTCCTTCCATATTTTCAGCATCATTAGTATAGTACAATTTTTTTATTGTCCTTTTACATTAACTTCATATGTTAGGGAAACTCTTCGGCAGGCAACGATGTAGATTAACAGGAATTTACAAAAGCGGAAACACAATGCAGACTCTGAATACCTTATTTTGAGCATTCCTTGACCTTTCCCTTGCCTCATCCATAGCATCATTGAATCCCTCAACATCAACTCGTAATCCTCTTTCTTCTGCCATCAGCTGATTAGAAGTTCATCGTTAGGTTGCACAAGACTGTACAAAACATGTATAATGAAACAACAAAGCACCCTGATTACCTGAGTCAAATCTAATGGGAAGCCATATGTATCCCACAAAACAAATGCATCCTGCAATCAAGAGATGAACTTGGTTAGACGTATATGAGAACAACAAAAATCTTACACAACCACCCCCCCCGCGGCCCCTCCTCTCTCTTCCAGGGGTGGGGGGGAGGGATCATAGGAAGAAGTTTCTTTATTTGCATTAGCGCAATGTGAACATTGTACACATTCACAAAATTGAAAGAGAGGGGGAGAGAGAGAATTTACTTGCCTGCCCACTCAATACCTTCCCTTGAACCTCCTGAGCAGCCTTCTTAAATTTCTCAATTCCCTGAAAATGAGTCAGAACAATCAATTTTGCCAAAAGACGAGACTAAAATTGTTTGCACCCATTTTGTAGAAATAGAGGAAAGAATCCAATAAAAGCAAAAGAAGCAAAAGGTAATTTGAAAAAAAAAAAAAAAAAAAAAAAAAAAAAAAAAAAAGAGAGAATTTGGTTTCTCGCTTTCTGTATTATTCCTTTAGGGGAGGGAGGGTAGAAGAAATGGCAATAGAGAAATTCAGTATATCATACATATTCTCCTATTTGTTTGCCTCATATCCAAAATTTAAGCAATTCTAAGAATGTAGGTGCAAAAGCAAACTATAATCCCTAAAAATTAGAAAATGCACAAAAATTATATTTTGACTAATTACCAGAATAGAATATTATAGAAAAAACTACCAATAGAGAAAAGAAAAGAAACCTTAACATTTGGCCAGATGGCCTGATACACACATTGATCCTCCAAAATTCAAAATCAATAATGACACTAGATATCGCGTTCTCTAAAGGCCAAAACTTCAGTGCAACTAAAAATATATTGAAAACAAACGATGAAAAAAAGAACTTCATTTTGGTTTACAAAAGGGCTAATCTGTCATTCAATGAGACTGAGAATCCAAGTGTTTGATTTCGAAAAAACAATAAAGTTATTATCAAATCTCAGAGTGTTTTGATGATTATCCTAAGAGTAAAATAAAGAACACAAGTTATTGAAATAATTCAATTTCATCTAAGAGATATTAGATTTGTGCCTCTAATCTAGAATAAGAAGACACCCCCATTTAGTCTTAACAACCACCGCTTGGTGATGTTTCGTAAAATTTTCCATCCTCATGAAACCATATAAAAATATCCATATTGTGATAATAAAAAAAATTGCCACAAATTGGTTCTTTTAGGTCAAGAGAGGCCCATTCCTTTAAAATAGCAAGTTATTTTGATATTTGCCTTGAATTTTAATGCTACATTAACATGGAAAATTGGCAATATGTTTCATGTATGAATCATACCACTTGAACAAAATTGAAACCAATACACAAACTTCCTCTGTTAATTTTATAAAATTGAAAGAAATATAATTTAAAAAAAAAAAAAAAAAAGTGAGAGAGAGAAAGAAACTGCAATCTAAGTACAAAAATTAATGCTTACCTTGAGCAAAGTCTTGCCAAAACTTGCTTCTTCTTCTGCAATTATTTCCCTAATGTGTTCTTCATTTTGCTTTAGCTCTGGGAAGACATCACCCATCACTTTCACGACAACATTTACAAGCCTGATTCACAGAAATCATCAAATCAGTAGCAATAACATCATCCAGGACACAATTTAACATTTCATATGAAGCTTTTTCCAATGTCATTTTATTTCTTTGAGAGATAGAGAAAAAAGATTATTAACGAAAAAGCTACCTAGCAATGGGCATGATAGCCAAAACAGTAAGTGATCACAACTATGGCATCATATTTCTACTCATACCCATTAAAAAATCCTTCTTGAGCTTTGAGGACTTCACTTCCGTACCGGACAGCTCGCCGAAGAATCCGCCTAAGAACATACTCACGACCCTCATTGCCTATATAGCAACAAAAATTATTACAAAATATCTACCTTAATAATACGACACACAAAACTACCATGCATCACTCAAAAAACAAAAAATTTCTGGCATCAAATCTCAACTAATTACCTGGACGAGAACCATCAGCAATAGCAAATGAGAGTGTTCTAATGTGATCAGCAACAACCCTATATGCCATATCAATCCTGTCTACATCATCAGCTCCAACTTTTCCACTATAAGGCCGTGCCCCTGTCGCCTACATATAATTTCAAACAAAAAGCATTACCAACGATGTAGGCTTTTTTCCTTGGAGGCCAAATAAGCATATTAAGATGAATGTAATTTCTTTTCTCCATAATAGAGAAACGAAAAATGCAATAAGAGAACAATTTGATATATAATTCCTATGATGCCCTAAAACAACCCTCCCATAAGATAAAACAAAAGCCGAAAGGGAATATCAAATCGAACAATTTCTAAATATCTCTAAGAAGGATCACATTTGAAATTAATTACACCCCACCCCCCAACCCTCCAAAAGAAAGGGGCGGGAGGGTGTTGAAAAAGGTTATTTACCTGTTGGATAGCATCAAAGATGGGCAAAAACACATCAGTATCATAATTGCTCATCTTGTTCTGAAGCACGGAAGTCAATCTCTCAAAACCCATTCCAGTGTCAACATGCTTAGCTGGCAGAGATTTCAAGGAGCCATCACTTTCCCTATTGAACTGATGGACCATCAAAAAATCAGAAAGAGAGAACAACTATTACATTTATGTTATTATGCCTCATCAGCAAATACCAATTGATGAGAGTCTCATAAATTATACCTGAATAAAAACTAGGTTCCAAATCTCAATGCATGTAGGATCATCATTATTAACCAAATGTGCTGCATCACGGTTGCCAACTCTATCGTAATGTATTTCAGTACAAGGGCCACAAGGACCAGTATCACCCATCTCCCAGAAATTATCCTATTGAAAAGTCAAGAGGAATTAATGATTTTGTTAAAGCCAGTATCAGCAAAATAACAGAAAAGGCCAGAGTTGCAGCACAAGCACAGGAAAATTCAGAATAGTCCATTATAAAATCATACTAGGAAGATCTCCTCAAAAAGTAAGTTCGGGAAATCTATAAATTCAACCTTGTAACAAAAAAGAATGCAAAAACGTGTTTTTCTATCAATTTCTTCTTCTACTAATAGCATATTAGTAGAAACATCATGACCTTTCAACAATTCAATACCCCTCCACAGATTATTTCTTAAAAAATCAAGCCCTAAAATTGTGCATACTAACACATAACAGTGCCTCCAAAGAGGCATTACCTCCATATACTGAGTATTTGCAAAATAGGTGACCAAAAAAATAAAAAATAAAAATAAAAAAAAGAAGAAAGAAAGAAATACAAAAATTATTAGCATCACATCTCATCCATAAAATGACAAAAACAAGTTAGTTCTATCTTACAGTTTGCAATTTCAAACCCATTAACATTTCAAGAGAAAATCCTTTCATTCAGAAATAAGAAGAAAATTACGGTAGTACCATTACAGTAGAAAGTACAGGAGAAAGATGAAGATAGGTATACTTTACAACCAAAGGGCAGAATGCGCTCGGGTGGCAAAAATTGAAGCCATATATCTCTTGCTTCATTATCAGGAGCAAGACCAGCTTTATCATCACCACCAAAATAAGTGGCATAAATCCTATCAGTTGGCAATTTATACACCTACATAAAAAAAAAAAAATAAAATAAATAAAAAATTAGATAAGGAAAAAGGGAATAAGAAGAAAGCATAATGGAATTTTTCAAAATTTGATGAAATTTTTCTATTCACAGAGGCCCACAAAAATCAATTACAAAGCCAGTATCCAGATACTCACAAATATTTCAGAGACAAAATTGAATACTAATTTGTATGACCAACCAAATAAAAGATCAAAGAATAACAAATAGCAAAATGTGACAAAATTGAATATTAATTTGCATAACCAACTAAATAAAAGATCACAGAAACACAAATAGCAAAATGTCAAAAGTCAATCAATAAATCTTAAAGTAGGCATCCAAATACCTTAGTTAGAAGCTCCCAGGCCCACTCAATCGCCTCTTTCTTAAAATAATCACCAAATGACCAATTTCCCAACATCTCAAAGAAGGTATGGTGGTACGTGTCCTTCCCCACATCATCAAGATCATTATGCTTACCGCCTGCACGAATACACTTCTGGGTGTTGCATGCACGAATTAGCTTACTCAAGGCGGTATTGGGGTCAGCAGTTCCCAAAAATATAGGCTTGAACTGATTCATGCCTGTAAAACAACGTCAAATGGCTATATTATTCCTTTTTGTTTTGAATACAAAATTTTACGTATAGTTGAACGTTTCACTCTCTTTCGATTTCACTTACAGAATTCTACAAATACTAATTAGAATTAAGAAACATAATCAGAGAGAAAATCAGGATTCTGATTCTGAGTAATAAAATTATAGAGAAATATCAATAAAATAACATCAAAATCAAAAACAAAAGTTAAACAATAATAGAAACTATACCAGCATTAGCGAAGAGGAGAGTAGGATCATTGACAGGAACAACTGGACTAGATTTCCAATGGACGTGATTTTTGTCTTCAAAGAAGCTAATAAAAGTGTCTCTCACTTTCTTCGCCGGCCACTCCACCTTCTGTGGATCAACGTCCGGCATGATTGCGATGCGGGACAGTGAAGAAGAGGAGAAGGAAGCGAAGAGAGTTGCTAGCGGCCGATTTACAGAAACCCTAGCAGCAGCAGCAGCCGCCGCCACCAGAAATACGGGAGCGCGAAGAGGGGTTTTCTTATTAGTATACAAGTGAAGACCCGGACACAGAGATGATGATACAATTGATATTCTCTTCATTCATTTTTAAACGCTAACATTTCTATTTGGCCTTATATTCTCGTTGGAAAATATTTAGTAATGTATGGCAGGACAGCAAGTAGGATTCGCTGTAAAAGAACTTTTGAAAAATTACATTATAGTCCTTATGGTTTAAAATATAATTAACCTGCCCTTATTTCTTAGAAAATATATTAAAATTTTTCTGTAATTTATTTCTGTCAGACTATCAAATCTTTCCATTCAATTTTTGCATCTTTTCTATTAAGTACCTTATGAAATGATGAAAATATTCTTTTTATTTCTTCTTACTTTTGATATCTACTTATACTATATATAAATATGGGAATAGAGAGGGAAAAATGATATTTTTAAAAGTAGCCTTCATAAAATTTAGAATATGCTAAAATTACTATAGTCATAGCCAATTAAAAAATTACATTTTAAAAGTTGATTTGATATATTTATAAAAATTATTTTTTAAATAAATACATATAGATAATTAACCATTTCAAAATCAATATAGAATAATTAACCATTTCCAAAATTCAGTTCTATCTTTTTAAATGTATTTTTAATAATATAATAGATAAGAAGAGATTTAAAATTTTTTTATATTTATTTTTAAAATATTTAATTAATTTAACTTATAATTTAAAATATTTTATTAACTCGGAAGAATAAAAATATTACTTTTTAATAATTATTTTTATTATAAAATATACATAATTTTTTGTTTAGAAAAGAAATGAAAAAAGAAAAAAGTATATTATTTTTATTAATACTTTTCTTTATATTCATATGATTTGATTAGGTATATTTTTTTTTAAATAAAATTTAAAATAGGATACACATAATTAAACATTTCAAAATTTTTACTTTTTAAAATTTATTTAAATAAAATGAATATGTGTGTAGGATTAGCGGCTATTTTGAAAATTTTAAGTTTTATTTTTTTAAAAAAATTATTTTTAATAAATGTATATGATAGCGCCCTTGATAGAATTTAGGATATCCTAAAATAATCTTAGTTATAGCGAATTAGAAAATTACATTTTATTATTTGATTGGATATATTTATAAAAATTATTTTTTAAGCCAATCATATGTGATCTGTTTGTCTTCTCACTTATGTGAAAAGTGAGAGGTCTCAAATTCAAATCCTCTCGACCACATGTTGTCACCAATTTGATAAGTGGAGGGTTATTCCTTGTTAAGTAGCCCGCAGTATTATTTCAGCCCGTCTCCTAACAAAATAAAAAGTTTTTTTTGAATAAATATATATAGATAAATAAGCATTTCAAAATTTTAAATTTTATCTTTACAAAATTTATTTTTAATAAATACATATGATAACGAGACATTTGAAAATTATTTTATATTTTATTTATTAAATGTTTGATTCTTTTAGGATATAGATAAAAAAAGAAAGAAAAGAATCACATGGAGGAATATTAAGTAATTTACAAGTCTCTTGATCCTATGTGACAAGTCTTTGTTTTTATTGTGTTTGATTATGGCTGGTTCTATTCGGAAACAGACTTTGTTACTGAGTTTTATGCGAACCTCAATTTGGAGGAAAAAATGGCAGGGTTGATTATATGGAGTATGATGATGAGGTGCCTGAGGATGATGGGGTAGACTCTACTTTCTGAGTGGTTGGTCGCTTGTTAATGGGCAACCAATGAACTTTCCAGCTTTCAAACAGACCATGGCGTCGGTATAGCGACCAGTTTGCGGTATGCTGCTGAAGGAGTTGGGCAATAATTCTTTCCTTATATAGTTTATGCATGAGAAGGATAGGGATAGGGTGGTTAGTGGAGGCCCGTGGAATTTTTCACAGAACCTTATCATTTTGTGTAAGGAACCTCAAGGTGTTAATCCTAGAAGGATAGAGTTAACGGTGGTGGAGTTCTAGGTACAATTGCACAATTATCCTTCGGGGTGTCGGTGGGAAAGAGCTTTTAGAGATATTGTGAATTTCATTGGCCAATATATTGAGGTGGATCTGAGGAACTTTTCTATTATTTGGTGTGATTATATGAGAATCCAAGTGGCCATTTATGTCAACAAACCTCTCAAATGCTGAATTCAAATGAAGCAGCCGACTGGAGAACGGGAGTGGGTGGAGTTTAAATATGAACGATTGTCGACTTTCTATTTTTTTTTGTGGATAGTTGGGGCACGTCAACCGGTTTTGCACCAAACTACTTGATCATCCTGAAGTGGAGCGAAGTCAGTTTACCTATGGTTCTTTTTACGTGTAGATAACCACGAGTCTCCAATATCGGTGACAAATGGTTATTGTCGGAGGCGGAGGTGCTGAATGGCGATCAGCAAGCGAAAGTTGGGGAGCATGTAAGGGGAACATCAAAGGAGGCGGATGTTAGGGGATTTCAAATGCCTTCTATATCCAATCCCCCTAATCTCGTCCATGTGGAGCCAATAAGGCAAGGGGGAGATGTCGTGATCCTTAAGGACTCCCTATTACCTAAGAATTTTCATCTTGAAGATAATGGGGGCCTGATTCTAGGAGATCCCAAGAGGCGTGAAGTGGATTCTTCGAAGGGGGATGGGGTTACTTATATGGAGGAAGAATGTTTAGAGGCAGGGAATCTATTGGATGAGCTGGAAAATCCAAATAACATAGATGGGGTGGGTTCTAGTTTCCAGGCCTGCTTAGCCAATGAGTTTTCTTTGCTGGAATTGCGTGGGCTTGGGAACCCAAGTATAATTCGGGAGCTTCAGGACTTTGTGTCCATTAAGAAACCTGGTTTGACTTTTCTTATGGAGACTTTAGTGGGTGGGATAGACTTGATGTTGTTAGATGCCAGTTGGGCTTTTTGTTGTTAATCCACAGGGCCATGGAGGTGGACTTGCTCTTATGTGGTAGGAAAAAAACTCATGTTCTCTTATTGGATTTAATAAAAACCATATTGATGTTGGTGTTTATATTGATGGGATGCAACCTTTTCGTTTTAAAAGTTTTTACGGTTATCCTAACAGTGCCCATCATCGAGATTCGTGGGCCCTCTTAACTTTTCTAAAAAATAAATCTCATCTACCCTGGGTAGTGGCTGGGGACTTTAATGCTATATTATCTAATAGTGAGAAGGCAAGACGAAATCATCACGCTAGCTGGCGATTGCATGGCTTCCATCAAACAGTAGAAGATTGTGAACTTTTTGATGTAGGCTTCACGAGGAACATTTTTACTTGGGGAAGAGGTCAAAATACAAGCAATCGGGTTTCCAAAAGGTTGGATCGAGCCTTGGCTAATCACTCTTGGCTGATACTGTTTGTTCAAGCTCAATTATTTCACATGGAAGCGGCGAGTAATGATCATAGTGCCATCTTTATGTCTCTAGGGTTTAGTTTTATCCGCTATGCCTCGTAACCTTTACGTTTCACAAATAGCTGGTTGTGTGAGGAAAGTTTTACTAATGTGGTGAAGTCGGCTTAGGAAGGGACAATGGGGTAGAGTTTCCAGAATCGTTTTCTACAGTGTAGTGCCATTTTAAAGCAATGGGGTCAGGATCAGTTGGGGTGTTCAATAAGAAATTACGGGACACTAAGCAGCAAATTGCTCGGTATTGTATAAAGAGAGATGCTATCTCTGTTGAGTTATACCGTACTACTCAGGCGGCCTACATGGAAGCCTTGCACCAGTAGGATGCATATTGGAGACAAAGTTCCAAATAGCCATGGTTACATGACGATGACATTAACACGAAGTTTTTTTATTCTATGGCTAATCGGCGATGAAAAAAGAACACCATTTTGCAGTTAAAGGATGCGTCTGGGCAATGGGTGACATGGGATAATGGTTTGAAGCAGGTGTTAATGGCTTTCTATGGAGATCTCTTTAAGTCACAACAAGGAGAGTTTAACACTGTGCTAGATTGCATTCCGCCAAGAGTTACTGCAGAATAGAATGAGGAGTTAGCAAAGCAATTCGTGGAAGAAGAAATTAAAGCTGCAGTCTTTAGCATGCATCCAGCTAAGGCGTCTGGGCCCAATGGCTATAATCCTGCTTTCTTTCAAGTGTTTTGGCAGATTGTAGGGAAAGATTTGTGTCGGGAATGTTTGCAAAATCTCAATGGTAATCCTTCCCTTCCCGGTAATAATACTACTAATATTATCTTAATTTCGAAGAAGAAGATATCGGAGTATGTGTTAGATTTAAGATCGATTCATTGGTGCAATGTGATAGACAAAATAGTGACCAAAGCAGTAGCTGATAGGCTTAAATGTGTGCTTCCTTCCATTATCTCAAATTCCCAAAGTGCCTTTGTCCCAGATCAACTCATCACGGACAATGTTCTTATTGCTTTTGAGCTCATGCACTGTATTAAACGAAAGACGCAGGGGAAGAGTGGGATTGCCACTCTCAGAATGGACATATCAAAAGCATACGATAGGGTTGAATGGGAATTTTTACGGCAAGTTATGTTAAAGCTAGGCTTCTAGTCTAGTTGGGTGGAGAAGGTTGTGGCTTTTTGAGAACGCGTGGTTTTCCCAAAAGATTGGATTTGGAAAGAACAGAATTGAACGAGCTTGATTGATTTTATTTATCAAAATCGTTTTCTTTTATTAAACCCATTTAATCCTCGAAAAAGGTTGTCTTACTTTGGTAAAGTAAGAGTTATTTTGGTGTTGCCATCCTTATTAGGGAAAAATTCTCAAATTAGTCGATTCTTTGGATCGACTAATCCAGTTTTAAACTAGAGATGGATTCAGGAGTTAGGTACGAAATGGGAAGGTATTAGGCACCTATTTCGCCGGGCTAAACCGGCCTCCATGTAGTTTAAAGATTCATAATAATCAATAATGAGAGCAACTTTAATTGAGGTGTAAAACGATTTTAATGCAATTTTTAGAAGACTATGTCATTCACACAAATTATTACAAACATAGTAAACATGAAACATAAAGCATCCAAAGAGAGAGAAGGGAGGAGAAAAGAGTTAAAAACCACCCTAATTGTTACAATCTTCCCTTGCCCCTCCAAATTTTTCAAACCCAATTAATGTTACATACAAGCAATAGTAGGGATCTTTA